ATTAAATGGGTTGGACAAGTTTCAGCGTCTTTCAAGATGATTGATTACAAATTTTAAGTATGTAACTTAGCAGTATGTATAACAGATGATAAACTCCATTATGGAAGAGTAAATATAAATGTATCTAAATGTGATAAAGTATGAATGTGTCAAAAGTGAACGTATAACAATTTTGTACTTGTTTACTTATAAAATTAAATTAAATTTATAACGTCCTTGAGTATTTTGCTTCAAAATCTATCAAATTTTGTGGCATTTGAAAATTTAGCACATTCGAATGATTTTATACGAAATTGTTATAATAAAAATTTTATAAACTTTTGAGTACCTTGTATATAACAGTCTATACGTTTCCCTGAGAGTGTATATTCTAATAAAACGAATGATCCAAATTTTATATGGTGTGCTTAAAAAACAAATTTTAAATGGTATATTTAAAAAATAGGCAAGATATAAGAGGAATCTTCACACTGCTTCGAGGATGAAACCAGAAATCGAAATTTCAAGAAAAAAAGAACGGTTCTCGAGGAATTCAGGCAATGTCTAGCTAGACAATTAAAGAAGGAAAGTTTGGAGTGCTGGTCAGAAATTTATCGTAAATGAACAGGTTACTCAGTTTACCAAGATTACTGAGCTTTTACCTTCTCGACTGGCTGTTACCTAAATTTCTATTCTTCGGATAAAGATAACGGGTGACGATGATCTACCTGGCAACAATAAGATACGTGTTTTCTAAAAAGACCGTTGTAAATCAACGAATTCTCTAACTTGATACTGCATAATACACAGGTTCGATAATATTCGATATACACATAACCTTAAAAGTTCACTTTTTGTTTAATTTTTGGGTGAGGTTTTTGTGCAAATAAAATAAGGATATTTTTATCGTGTGCAAATGAAAGACCAATATTTATTGAATATTATTATTAAAATTTGTCTATATTGAATATTGGTATTTTGTCGAATTTTGTGCACATCAGAAAATGATATTTTATTGAAATTTGTGCACATAAAATATTGGTATTTTGTCAAATTTTGTACACATTAGAGAAAGATATTTTACTGTATTTTGGGCAAATAAATATTGAATATTTTTAAATTTTCAGCAATTTTTGTCAACTGTAAATATATGTATGTGCCAAATGATATTAGTTAGAATGCTTTTCAATAAATACAATTTTGATACAATTTTCAATAACAATTTAATTTTTTTATTGTTCTGCATTCAAGTATGAAAACAAACTGCAGTGATTAATTTTAATAAATTGCAGTTTATTTCTAAAATACAAGGTTTCTCAGTGAAGTACATGTAGATTTTGAATATTAATATCGAATAAAAATGATGATAAAAATTTTTTGTATGGTGCAGATGTCATTTGTATAGATAATTATTACGAACCTTTGTAATATTAAATTTTAATATTAAATTTTATGTATCTATATTAAATTTTAATATTAAAATATTAAATTCTGATATCAAAGTAACTAATAAATTTTGACTTTTGGAATATTAGGGCTGATTTTAAAGTAACTAGCATAATATCGAAATAATATCTCTACTTTACTGATTCTATTACATGATAATAAAATGAATAAATATTTTATTAGAATACTTTATATATGCCTTGCAAAAAGATCGATATATAAATGTAATTAATAAATAAAAGACTATTTAAAGAAATTAAATTCTCAACTTTCGACAGCTATAAATATAATTACTGTTCCGCCTAGTAATAACAGTTTATTATCCTCAGGATACACAGAAGTCCCATAAATAAGGCGGAAATAATGCCAGTCATACCCTTCGCAATTTCTGTATTTAAGTTTCTAATGGCTGTGCTTTACAATTGTGCCTATCGTATTCTAACATCAAACTCGTAAAAAAAATTGCTCTTTCAAAATCTTTGTAAATAGAATCTAGTTAATCTTTTCGTATTTATGTCATATTTAATAAGTGTCCTATGCGTCATTTTTAGCAAACGAAAATCTTAACGGTTTGATTTGGGATTCTAATAGTAGAATACATTTGGAGATAGAATTATTTATTCGATATGCAAGAGAAAAGAAGAAAATGAGGCACAAGATTAATTTCTTAAATTTATAGGTCATAAAATGAAGATTAATATATTTTATTCGGGTTAAGATCATAATTAGTGTTATATATAAAATTGAAATAATAGTTAATTAACAAATGTTCAGATATTCACATTTTTATATTTAAAAATTCTTAAATATTGCAGTTCTAAAATTTTCAGATAGTGTTTGTATGTTCTTCAATTTTCAAAATTCTAAATTTTTCAACTTTCAAATTCCTAAATTTCTGAACTGTCAAATTTCCAAATTTCTGTACTTTTAAATTCCTAAATTTCTAAATATTAAAATTAACAAATTCTCTGATTCAGAATTTGAAACTTAAAAATATTTGAGAATTTGAGAAATTGGGAATTCGGGAATTGGAGAATTTGGTACTTAGGTAATTTGATAATGTGAGGATATGAGAATTTGTGAATTGAGGAATTGGGGAATTGGGGAATTGGGGAATTTGGAGAATTTGGAAATTGGAAAATTTAAGAATTTGGTATAACTTAGGAATTTCGAAATATAGGAATTGGAATATTTAGGGATTCGATAATTTTGGAATTTAGTGATTTTGGAATTTGGTAATTTTGGAATTTGGTGATTTTGGAATTTGGTGATTTTGGAATTTGGTAATTTTGGAATTTGGTAATTTTGGAATTTGGAAATTTTGGAATTTGG